TCGGGGATGGACAGACCCTCCTTTAGTAAAACGTGGTTTAATGAACACGACCTCGGGCCCGAACCTGGCGGGCGCAAGCCTGGAAAATGACGGCCGCGGCGCCCCCTCGAGAACCGAAAACGGACAATTCACTAATCGACGTGTCAGGGAAGGAGGTCTGTCCACCTCCGAGACTTAAGCCCATAATCCAGCATGCTGTGCGTGGGAGGGGGGGGGGGAACCGGACGAGGCCGCGCAGAGCCCAGCGTCCCCGGCGGCCGAGGTGCGGAGAGAGCTCGCGGGCCCTCTGCCTCTCCTCTCCGCAGGCTCGGGTCGGGCGTGCCCCCCCCCCCACGGGCGGGTCTTGGACGAGAAGTGAAACATAGCCCCTCCTCCCTCCTCTCTCCTCTCTCCTCTCTCCCTCCTCCCTCCTCCCTCCTCCCTCCTCCCTCATTCCTCATTCCTCCTCCCTCCTCTCTCCTCCCTCTTCCCTCCTCCCCACAGGCGGGTCTTGGACCAGAAATTAGACAATAGCCAGAAGATGCTCCCAGGTGGTCGAAACTGGCAGAATGACGAGCGAACAACACACACCCATACCCATAAGGGCGGTCGTTGGGAGGAGGACTCGCCATGGGTATGGGTGCGGGTTGTCGGACCCTGGGGAACGCTCCCGTTCGAGCGGGGACCCCCATCCGACAGCACGTACCAATAGCCCTCTCCGACCCCCCTTATGGGTATGGGTGTGTGTTGTTGGTTCGTCATAGAAGTCGTCCCGGGGCTGCTTTCTAGCTATTTTTGGGCATCCGTCCCGTATAGCTGTTTTTGGGCATCCGTCCCGCAGGGGGGGCGGGACCGACTTGGCCGTAGGCGCCAGGCCCCGCCCCGGCAACCCCTCATCCGACGCCTCCACTGCACTGCTCGGACTGCCGCAGCCCACACTTCGACGGGCCGCCTGGGCCAGCTCGCCCTCGGCCTCGATGGACATCTGGGGCGGCGCCGCCTCCCCTGCTGCCTCGCGCGCCTTCCTGACCTTCACCGGCTCGTCGTCGTCCTGTGCGGGGCCAGATGCCAGGTCGGGCAGGTCCTCCTGCAGGCGGATCTCGGAGGAAACGCCCAAAAGGAATCAACACGATGCAATCACATACACACACACATATATATATATATATATATATATATATCATAAAAAAACACAAAAGCTCGTCCCCATGCTTGTCTTTCCGATTCTGGAATGTTCCTCCTGGAGAGGGACGTGCCCGACTTGGGCCCCAGGCGGCGTCCGCGCGTCCGCGGGGGCCGCGGCCGGACGTCCCCCGGGGGCCTCGCCCTCCTGCCCTCGCGCCTCCCGCCGCGGGCGAGCAAAAGCCGTCGCGCCGAGACGCAGCACGAGGAGGTCGCCGCCGAAGCGAAGCACGCAAGAAGCCCCCCTCTGCAGCAGGAGCTCGACCACAGGCCGCCTTCCGCGAGAAAGCAAAACCCTGCGGCCCGAGGGCGTCCATTGATAGTTGGTGTGGGCACGGCACGCCTCCCACCACGGGCGAGCACGTAGCCGCCGAACCGAAACACCCCCCCCTTTACAGTAGGAGCTCGACCACAAGAAACCTCCCAGAAGAAAACCAACCCTGCGACCCCAGGGCGTCCATCGATTTTTGGTGTGGGCACGGCACGCTCTCCATAGCACAGCCATCGAGGCCAAGGACGCCCAGGGCATCCTGGAGGCTTGCAGGGTGTTTCTTGGCACGGGTCTCCACTCTAACATCCACGGGGTCGGACCTGGCAGTCCGAATACTTCGTGGCGCTCGGCGGAAGAGTAGAGGTCGACTGGGTCGGAGCTGTCTGCAGGGAGATCTAACCCAGAGGTTCCAGACTCTCCAGGCCCCCCCTGTGTGGGGAGTTGGGGTCCGAGATGGCGAGGCTTGGGACGGGCCCAACCTGGCAGACAAGACAATGTGCTCCGAAGAGACTGCGGTGCTGTCCCGCTCACACACCAACTGCACTAGAACTATCGCGCGCGCTTTGCGCGCGCTCAGGTTCTACCTGTCTTGGGAACCAGTGCACAGTGTGGACGAAGGACAGTGCCCGAACAAAAAAGGACGCGTGGAGTTCGAAGCCAACGCGTTCGTTGCTGCAGGCGCGAATGGAAGTTCGAGCGAGGTCCATGGGTCTACAACTCAATGAAAGTATACATTTGCGTGCCGTTGGGGGCCTCTTGGGGGTGTCTTGATGCCTCTTGAGAGCCTGTGGGGGGCACCTGGGAGCCTCTTGGAGGCCTCTTGGGGGGTCTCTTGAGGGTCTATTGGAAGCGTGCTGGGGCAGTCTGGGGGCCTCTTGGGGCTCTCTTGGGAGAGAGGTTCCCAAGGCCAGTTCGGCTTGGAGGTGGCCAGGGGGTCTGAGCTGGCCGAGGCCCAGGAAACATCTGTCAAGAGGGGGCTGATGAAGCCAAATCCGCTCAAGGTCGGTCCCTGGACCCCTCCTGGGTCCATCTGGTGCGACGTTTTACCTCGGATCCGTTGTCGACGGTGCCCGGGCTCCTCCGACCTTCCTGATTCGCCTGCTCCTGCTCCTCAACCACCTACCCCTCTTCCTCCTCCTGCTCCTGCTCCTCCTCCTCCTCCGCCTCCTCAAGCATCCTCCTGCGTCCTACTCCGCCTTCCTTCGCATCTTCCTTTGGGTTCGGTTCCTGCGCGCGGTCTGCGGAGGCGTTGCCGTTGAAATCCACCCTGTCGCAGATCCAGTCGGGCACGCCGGCGCTCTTCAAGGCCTCCTGGATGACGCCCTTGTGTGTGGGGCCATCCCGTCGCACCACTCCCCCTCAACCTGATCCTCACTCGCCCGCCTCCTCCCTCCTGCTGCTCCCCTATCCCCCCTCCTGCTCCCCATCCCTCCCCTCCTCCTCCTCCGTCCTCCTCCTCCTCATCCTTTCTCTTCCTCGGTCCTCTTCTTCCTCGCCCACACCGTGCGTCCTCCACACATACCTCTTCATCCTCCTCCTCCTCCTCCTCCTTCCCCTCCGGCCTCCCTCATCCCCGCCTTCCTCCTCCCTCCAGCTCCTCTCTCTTCCCTCTCCCTCACTCTTCTTCATCACCATCATCGAAAAAAGAACCATTGCTCCGCGATTCTGCCCTACATGATTTGTGCAAACTCTGGACATGAATGCGCCCTGGCCCCTGACCTCGAGGATGTCCACAACTTTGTTGAACGTTGCCGTCACCCAACCGACCAACTTCCCCTCGAGGCTAAGACAAGAGAAGCAACACGGCTCGATGCAATCCGGAATGACTTTCTTGAGCAAGTCCACGGCCATCTGAACCCCTTCTTTGCATGCTCGCATAATCCAACTAATAACTCGATACAAACAATTCAAAACACCCGTCGAAGGATCACTCGCCATGTCCGCGAAACAATCCACTACGTCCTCGCAGAAATCGTGGATCTTGGAACGGTAGCCCAATATCTTATTGGTGCAGGCTTCCGTTGCCTCGCCGTCGAAATCTCTTGACGTTGCTTGGTCAAGCCTCTTGAAGGCAGGAATGAATTCTTGAGCCTCGTCGATTGTCAACTCTCCAGCTCTAGGGGCCATCTGGTCCAACACATTATCTGCCATCGCCTTGAACTTATCATCCAAATGGAGCGCATCAGCGACTCCGTGTGATAATAGATTAGTGACTTGCGCAGCCTGGTCCTGGATGCCATCGACTATGTGGTCGGCCTGCTGTTGGATAGCCCCGACTACATTCTGGACGCCCTCGGAGAACTTCCAGAATCCGCCTCTTGCGCCAGTCGTTGTGGGCGTACCGGGCTGACTATCATGGCCTTCCTGGTCCTGAGGGTGAGGAGGGGGATGATGAAGAGGAGGATGAGGAGGAATAGTAAGATGATAGTGGTTGCACTTACGGGCTTATGGCCATCCTTCTCCTGGGGTTTGTACTCGTCGTTCAGATCGAGGGGGCCGCCACTTTCCGAGAGCTCCTTGTTGCAGCAACATGCGTTAAACATTATTCCGCACGGGGAAGTGCTTGGCGATTGCTGCCTGACCTTGCAGTGGAGAGTGATTTGCCACAATCATATCCAAGCTCGAGGCCTGATGCACAAATGTCGACATGAGTAAGAAAGGGCCCTGAGGGAGACGGGCGGGTGGCGGACAGGGGGGAGGAGGCAAGGCGAGGAACAAAAGGAGGGACATCTAGCACCCCACAATTGCGGATACGAGCGAGGGGGCGGCAGGGTCCTCGGCAGTCTGCGAGGCTCTGAAGAAGTCCGCCGCAGGCGCCGATTTACTACACATTACGCATGGAGTCCGCCGCGTCCGCAGATTTTCGCGTCGAAACAACGTGGGTGGATCGCGGGTGGGTCGCGGGGAGGGGGGGGCGGGCGAGGACGACGACAATCAAGAACACCAACAGCAACATCATCAACAACAACACCACCAGCAACAACACCACCACCACCACCAACAACAACAACAAACAACAAGCAACACAACACTCAACAACCAACACGCAACACACAACAACAGCAGCAACACCACCAACAATACCAACCACCATTTTGAGACTGTTCGTTCTTACCTGCTCGCGTGCCGTTCGACGCGTATGTCCCACATCCTCGAAACCTGCCCTCTTCGTCTTCGATCGTACCCCCTTGGGGGTCTATCTTCCTTACTTGCAACGTGTGTTTCGTGCATCCCCTAAGGCAGGGGAAGAGAGGACGGATGGAAGGCAAGGGCAAAGGGAGGAGGATGGAGCACGAGAGAGATTAGCAGGAGGGGGGCTCGGAGCAGAAACCACGTTGCAGAACCAGATGGGCGGGTAGGTGGGCTCAGGCGGCCAGGTCGAGCAGGCGGGTTGCTGAAGCGTGCGTCCTGCATGAGTCGCGTGGATGTTGCGAGCGATAGCGCGATTCCCAAGTAAATCGCGAGGAAAAGCATAAAACGCGAGAGCGTGATTTTTGAGTGTCGAGGGCGCGGCGTTGGAATACATTGAGAGGAACCTCCACGCGAGAACACGATTCCTGCATACATTGTGAGGAAGTCCCGTTCGAGAGCGCGATTCTCAAATACATTGTGAAGAAGCATCCTGCGGGAGCGCTCAGGAATCGCGCTCTCACTTTGGCGTGTCTCGCGATTCACTTGGGAATCGCGCTATCGCTCGAGACCTCCTCGCGACTCATGCAATACTCACGCCTCAGCAATCCACCTGCTCGACCTGTCCGCTTGGGCCCACCCTCCCGACCCTCCCGTTAAAGTCAACCCTCTGCTCCTAGCTCCCCTCCTGCTAATCCGTGCTCCATCCTTCTCTCTCCCATTGCCATCCGTCCTCTGTTTCCCTGTTTTAGGGACTGACCCAATTACACGCGGCAGGTGAGGATGATATACCCCCAAAGAGGTACGACCGAAGACGAAGAGGGCGGGTACCGAGGGTTTGGGATATACGGTTGAATGGCACGCGAGCAGGTGAGAACGAACCGTCTTAACCTAATTGTTGTTATTGATGTAGCTCGGGGGCCAACAACGTAGTTTCGTGACACCAATCAAGCTCTCCCAGATGAGAAACAAGGTGCGAGCCCCAGGAGGGGCACCTCAATTGAAACAATAACCATGATGGTCACCAGAGAAGGGATCAACAATAGTTGTTCGCCAGACATGAGTTCAACAACAAACAACATTCATGTTTAGCCTGTTCGCTCTCGTCTGCAAGCGTGTCAACCAACATGTATATCCCAAACCCTCGGTACCCGCCCTCTTCATCTTCGATCGTGTCCCTCTTGGGGGGTATGTCTTCCTTACCGGCCACGTGCAGTTGACGCAGCCTCCAGAACAGGAGGAGGGAGTCAAGAAACTTGAGGGATCCACGAATCGGGTAAGGAAATGCAGTCAACTAATGTGCTGTCAGACTTATGTGGCGAACGCCTCCATGTGTGAGAATGCCTCAGACGAGGGCCAAGTCCTTGAAGGTACGTCGAATTCGGGATCTCACTGAGCATCTCATTTTTTCTGAGGATGTCTGCAGCAACACGCCCGGCCACACCAAGGTATATATCTAACCCCCAAGCTCAACATCTCAATCTTGAGAGGATGTCTCATCCGAAAACTGTTTTTTGAACATCAACGTCCTAAAACAACTTTGCGCGAGGATGTCTCAGGCGGAACCTCCCCCCACACCATGTTGAATATTCGATATCTGATCTCCAGCATCTGTTTCTCCTCAGGATGTCTAGAGCGAAAACATAATTTATAAGAGCCAGCATTGTATAACAGTTTTCAGCCTTCCTCCAAATGTTGGAAAGGCTGTCTCAGGCAACACGCCCCTGCCCCCCCCACCCACACCATGCTGGATGTCCGACGCCCGATCTCCCGAATCTCCATTTTCGGAAGATGTCTAAGGAGAAGCCGCTAACGCAGCTCCTCCAACATCTCTATTTCGTGCGAGGATGTCTCAGGCGACCCTTCCCCACACTCCATGATGGACATTCGACGCCGGATCTCCAGCATCTCAATTTCCCGAAGGTGTCTCACGCGAACAAATCTGGTTGAAGAGCCAACGTCGTAAAACAACTCCTCCAACCAGCCCACTCTGTGAAGATGTCTCAGGCGAGCAGCCCCCCCCTCCATACACACACCATAGTGGATATCCGACGTCTGATCTCCAGTATCTAATTGTCTGAGGATGTCCTGGGCGGACCCTTCACCTTTGAAAACCAACGTCGTAAAACAACTCATCCAATATTGTGAGGATGCCCCAGGCGAAACGCTCTCCCCACACCATGTTGGATATCCGGCACTCGACCTCCAAGACCTCAACTGCCTGATGATCGAAGCCGCGAACTGCGACTGCGGAACCACGAATGGCAGCGAGGGGCATCGAAGGCGGACGAAGGTCAGCGAGGGGCGACTGCGGCTCCCAAATCTTACATATACCTTGGTCGCTTTTTTTCATCCCGGCGTCTTGAACATCATTGGCTTTCAGCCTGGTCCTCTCAAGTCTGTTGTTTTCGTCGTCGGAACCCGCCGCGGACGGGCCGTAGGTTTCCAGGCCTGCTTCGCCCAGGTGTCAGACCAGCGCCTGAGCGGTTTTAAACAGTTTTCAGCTCTGCGCGCGGAAACCAGTTTCAGCCACCGCCCCATCTATGCATCTTACGGCGACGGAGACGACGCTAACACAACGGCTCTAAAAAGCGCTAAAACAACGAAGCGTGTTTCCCCAACCCTCCGTTGCTGGGTTCTCGCTTTGAATGGAGCTCTGCTCGCGCGTCTTCCATTCCTCCCGCCTCCCACCCCTGGCCTGCTGTTGCCGCGGTCCTCCCGTCTAATTCCTCCCTCTTTCCTTTTCTCCTCTTCTCTCCTGCCTGCTACCTGGCCTGCACCTGCTTGCTAGTCTGCCTCTTACCTCGCCGTCCTTTCTTGGGGGGCTGCGAGCTGCTAAACCGTCGCCACTTTCGAGGGCTGCTGGGGGGTCAACACAGTAGGGCCTTGTCCAGATTCAGACTAAACCTTGCCGTCCCTGGCAGGGTGCGATTTGCGGAACTGTCGCCACTTGCGAAGGCTGCTGGGGGACCAGCGAAGTGGGGCCCGACCCAAACCCTGACTCAACCTCGCCATCCCTGGGGGGCTGCGAACTGCGAAACGGTCGCAACTTTCGAGGGCTGCTGGGGAGTCCGGCATGGTTGGGCCCAACCCGGACCCATATTCGACCTCGCCACCCCTGAGGGGCTGCGACCTGCGAAAGTGTCGCCACTTTCGAAGTCTGCTGAGGGGCTCAGCATAGCGGGGCCCTGCCCACACTCACATGAGACCTCGCCATCCCTGGGGGCCTGCGAGCTGCGAAACGGTCGCAACTGCCGAAGGCTGCTGGGGGGCCAGCATCGTGGGGCCCTACCCAGACCCAGACTGGACCTCGCCGTCCCTGGTGGGCTGCGATCTGCGAAAGTGTCGCCACGTTCGGGGGGGGGGCAGCACAGTGCGGCCCTACCAAGACCCAGATTCGACTTCGCTGTCCCTGGAAGGCTGGGACCTGCGAAACTGTCGCCACCTTCGAAGGGGCCCCAGCTGAGGGCAATGCTGCTGCGGGACCTCGCCATTTGTCCTCCAACTCTGCATCTCTCCTCTCCCTGCGCCCCTGCGTCCTAAGCGTTGCCACTTCCGAGGGCTGCTGGGGGGGGCATGCTGCCTCCCGTGATTTGCGAAACTGTCGCCACTTCTAAGGGTTACTGTGGGGGGCCACATAATGACGCCCCGCCGCGGATTCAGAAGATCAGTTGTTGTCACGCGGTGCATTTTTGTTCGAGCGAGAGGTTGTCCAGCGGACCTCTGGTCTTGCGGCTGCACTTTCCATCCGCGCTGCGGTGCTCGAGTTTCCCTCGCGACCGGTCTCGCGAGACTGTCTGTCGGCATGTGCGGCGCCAGTGAATGCGACGTCGTGCTTCCTCGAGACAATGGCGAAAGTCTTTTCAGCGGAATTGAATGGGGCCCGCCCCCACCCCCGCCCCCACCCCCGCCCCTGCCCAACCCCTGCCCAGCGGGGTCGCGCACACGCAGGTTGCATTGGCGAGGCGGCAGGCTGGTTTGCTCCGCAGCGACGGCAACGCCGTTGCTAGTGGCCGCCGCGTGCACGGCGCGAACCTCATCCTCGGACCCGTGGTTGGGGCGTTCTATGTGTAGGTACCCACGAGCAACCATGTCTATGTCTTACTCCAGAACAGCGGCACCGTTGAGACGACTGTCTCGAACATCATGGGTGAACGCGCGGCGCGGTCCCTGATCTGCCAAACGGCCTGGGGCATGCGCGAGTCGCAGCTGGAGGCGCGGTTGACATCGTGTGCCACACGGCACTTCTGCGAAATGATGGGGCCATCAAAGCCTTCGGCGCAAACGCGCGGGGCCAGTGTGACACTCCCGCTCTGCAGGCATGGCTCTTTTACACACAGGTCGTCACCGCAGCGCGTCGAGCCATGGTGATCAGGGGCGACGCAAGCACGATGGCACGGCGGTTGCCTGCGGCTGCAACTCCCAAGGGCAAATGCGACATCCTGGCTCCCCCATGCGGGCCGACCTACACAAGTGTGTCCACCAGGTGGACGTGCTCGCT